AAAAAAAAAAATACTACCAGACAATCGTGACCGTGCGATGAACTTTGGATGGTGATGAGGGTAGGCGAAATCATTGTTCATTTTTTGCCTATAGGCACTGGGAAGACTTTTCCATATATTAAGTTATGTATCTATTATTTATAGAAAAATTTTTACATAGAGCCGAGGCTCCAAACAATCAAATTAAAGCCTACCTCAAAAATTTTACTATAAGAGGTTGTTTTGATGCCCAAATATCTTCAAATTGATCATCTCAACATTAAGATACATGGACATGAGAAAAAAATGGATTTCAATAGAAATAATGCATTTTGTAACGTATTTTTGGACCATCAATTTTCAAGATTTTCATAGATATGTCGATCTACAGTATTTTTGAAGCTTTAAACTATAAAAATAAAGATGAAAATATATTTTAAGACTATCACAAAGATTTCTAGTATTGAAACTACATTTCTTGACACTATTTGAATGTAGGCTTTAATTTGTTTGTTTAGAGCCTACGCTATGTACAAACCACACCCTTATTTATTTATTATAGCTAAAATATATAGTTATATTATTTAAAATTTATTGATATATTATTAAATATTATATATTAAATATTATTTAAATAATAACACTATTTGAGTCGGGTTCACACGGAGCCGGACCTAGACCTAGACCTGAATGCTATTCAAGTCCAAATATTATTTGGACCAGACCAGACCCGGCCCGTTGGGTCCAATTTTTAGACCTATACAAGCATTTTTTTTTTCTTTTGTTTATTTGAGCCTCTAAAGTTTTCCCTAGTCAGGAGTTTTCCTATCAACTTTTGCAAAACTTTGATTGTAGTCCAAAATCTTATGATATAATATAAATAAAATTGGTAACATTTTCATTGGTAACAATTTTCAACCATTCCCAATGTCTTTGTAGATTTTAAGGTTAGTTTTGGGTCTAGGCCAAAAGACTTTTATAAGAAAATGGAGGGAAAAGTTTCTATACTTCCTCGATAGCATAGAAGGTCTATACTTCTCACACCATCCAACTATCCAATTTTGATCAAAAGAGTCATTAACCGTTTGATTTTAGATCTGACTTCTCAAAGTATTTTATTTTTATTTTTATTTTTATACAAATTGTATGAATATGAAATTTGGTATGTGCCATATTCTCATTGGGGTGCACCTATAAAAAATATTAAAAATAATTTTTTGATAAAATATAATGACCAAAATACCTATTGAAAATTTCAAAGGTATTTTGGTCATTTTATTTTATTAGAAATATTTTTTTAATATTTTTCGCTAGTGCGAGTCTAATAGAGGATTGGATGTCTAAAATTTGGTGTTAAAATAGTTTATAGAAAAAAATTTAAAAATAAAATAGTGTAGAAACGTGACATTGTGATTAGGGCAATCTTAGCCCTCCATTCAGAATGGACGGTTAGATAACGAGAAGTATATAAGTTTTATGCTGTAGGGAAAGCATAGAAGTAAAAAAAAATTGTCATATTTTAAAAAAAATTGTCATATTCAACCCCGTTCCCAGTTTACGAAGATAAATAGTGTAGAAACGTGGCATTGTGATTAGGGCAATCTTAGCTCTCCATTCAAAATGGACAGTTTGATAAGAGCAATCTTAGCTCTCCATTCAAAATGAAATGTTTGATAATGAGAAGTATATAAGTTTTATGTTGTAGGAGAAAAAAGTCCAAAAAAATTTGCCACATGGTTCAAACCCTGTTACCAATTTTGATTCGAAGTCAAACGCGCTGATCCACTGCGCTATGCGGTCAAGTTACTAATCTTGTAACTCTCAATTTTCCTATATATGATGAAAACAGCTCGGGTGTTAAGCATAGGTTCGGGACTAGGTTAGGTTTGCAATATTTAACCTCTTTTATAAATACCAATATTCCCTTTGTATACGCTTCCTTGGGTAGAGACCCTATGTATATCTGACTTAACCTTCTTTTCTTACCCAAAAAAAGAGACCCTATGTATATTTTTAGGACCAAAATTTTGTTTGACCAAATTCCAAAAAAAGAGGGAAAGTTAAAAAAAAGTACCATATGCATTCCCATATTTACATGGAAAGTCCGAACAGTGAGTGCTTAACTTTTTGATGGTTAGATCTAAGTTTTTTAATAATAATTTTTTTTTATTTTTTTAATTACTAGTATGATGATTTTAAAGTAGAATCCAAAATTTTTCAATTAATTTCTTAGAATTAGATTCTAAGGACTGGTTTTAAAATATGATCCCATGGAAGCACGCTATATGCTCTCCTCTGACTTAGTCTCCTCCCTAAAACTTTCACACAAATTTTGTTGGAAACGTATAGCATCCACATCACATTGATGCTTGAATGGTTCTCAATGGTTCAGATTAGAAGGGAAGAAATGGACGACCATGATTACATATAATATTTTAATTTAATTTTTACAAATTGTATTAATTTGAAATTTCAGGTATTCACACATGCAAATTAGGTGATTTGAAATAAAATATAAAAGAAAATAGAGAAAAACAAATTGACCAAAGCACCCCCAAAACATTTAAGGGTATTTTGGTTAAGTTTTTATATATTTTTGGTGTGACTATATGTGGTGTAGATCCGATACGTAAAAAAATTAAAATTAAAATACTGAACAATTGCGGCTATTTTCTTCCCTTCTAAGCTGAACTATCGTAGGTTGCTTGTGCACCTTTTGTTTCATGTGGACGTTATACCATCCCAATTTATTTCACCGTATTCTCATGAGACAAGAAGTAAAGTATATCCCTTTATTTTCGACTTGGTCATGTAGTTCAGAATTATAATTAAATTTGAAATTCCTACTTTTGTGGTTTTTTTAAAATGAGTAGTATCTTTATATAAAAGAATAGTAGAGTTTTTTAATAAAATATTATATTAATTTCCTAAATTTGTGCACTTTATTGAAAACGAAATTAAATTTTAAAATGAAACAACAAATCCATTTTAAGTAGAATTTACATTGTATGTTATTTTCCCAACATTTGTTATACAAGAGGTTAAAATTAGAATTTTGTACTCAGTTTAGAACTGGTTTAGCATTACTAAGGAAGATCAGGGGATTTCCAAGGTAGATATATATTTGAATTTGGCTAGTCGGCCGAAATGTAGGTACAAGCCCTTGGTAGTGGTTTGTATAAAGCTGAACTTTGGTGGATCCTTTTTGAGCAATCCAGGTTTGGCGGGACTAGGCGGTGTATGTTGTGGTAGTTGGGACAATATTATTTTCTATCTTGTCGTTCATTGTGGATGTGTTTTGGCTAATCATGCTAAGGTAACCACTATACTGCAAGGTTTTAAACTTTTAAGAGAAATGCAAATCGGCATATGCAATGTTTTTGAAGGGGATTCTCTTAATTTGATTAATTGGTGCAAATAAGAAGTCTAGGCCACGTTAGCGGTTAAGATCGTTACGGATGCAGAGAATAGATATTACATCTGTGCACCATTTCCTTTAATCTTGTTTAGGGAGGCTATCAAAGTTGTGAATGGGGTCGCCAAACAGGGTTCCTTGTTAGGTTTTGTGGTTGTTTCTGATTCTTTGCTTGAGTCTTTGCAATGTAATCTTTCTATGATCTAATAAAACTCAACACAAAAATTAGGTTAAAGATGAACAAAGGAGATCTCAAAATTTCGAGACCAAATGATCCTCTCGCCTTAAGCTCACGAACCCACAAAGTCCTCTCCCCTTACACTATAGATCATATTGAATAGGGTTGAGAATGGGTCGGATTGGTTCCTGATCAACAGGGATATGGATTCAAATTCAAAATGTATACATGGGATCGGAATTCGGATATGGACCTGAATGGATTCAAGATATTTAGATCCGAATCAATATTTGAAAAGTATGTAGAGGATCTAGATCCAGATCCGAACTCGTTCAGATCCAATTTTTTTTGTATATTATTTTATATTATAAATAATATATAACAAGAAATACTATATATATATATATATAATATTTTAATAACTAGGTTTGGATCTGGATTGGATCCATTAAACCTGAATCCAATATGTATTACTATTCGGATCCAAATTTTGGATTAGGATTTGACCCATCAAATACAAATCTTAGATACATACCTAGATCCAGACAGAGTATGAAATTTGGGTTTCAGATCCAAATGAGGTAAATTCTTTGTCCTAAATAGTGAATGATCCATATCTAATAAATGGATCATTCATCTAAGGAAAATGTTTATATAAAGGTGAAGCCCTAATCAATCAAATTAAGGTGCATCTCAAAAAATTGAGTAGAAGGGTAGTTTTGATGCTGAAAAGCCCTCGATTCGATCATCTAGACCTTAAGATGTATGGCCATGATTAAAAACAAATTTCAAGAATGAGAAGTAGTATATCTTGTAATGTATTATCATGATTAAAAACAAAATTTCAAGTCCGAGAAGTAGTATCTTATAATGTATTATCTAAGATCGTCAATTTTCAAGTATTCATCGATTTGATAGATCTATACTATTTTTGTACTTTAAATTTCATAATAAGAGATGAAAATAACTTTTGAGGCTATTATAAAAGTTTTTTTTTTTGAAACAACATATTTCAACACTGTTTGAAGGTGTGCCCTAGTTTAATTGTTTAGGGCCTCGGCCCTATACAAACCACACCCTTCATCTAATGGTTACACTTTCCCTTGATTTATTGAACGGTGATAACAAGTGTAACGAGAGCTTTCTGCAACGCGTAAACGGCGCGCGACACGTTTTCTCCGGCACGCATGCTTCCTGAAAATCCGTTTGTTTTCAGTGTCACGCATTTACCATTCATTGCCACGTAAGTCCTGCCAACAAACACGGTCCAATCATCTCTCACCTCGCATCATTTTCTCTCTTGTCATTGGTCACTATTTCCATGTCATCAGCCCAGGTCTTTCAAATCCATTTCCACGTCATCAGTCCAGTTCCTTCAAATCCCTCTCGAAGCTTCTGTCAAATCTTTGAGAGAGATTTTGGCGTCCCTGCAAATCCATCTCTCTCTCTCTCTCTCTCTCTCTGGAAATCCATCTCTCTCTTCGTTTCGTCCCAGAGAAAGAAAATAAATAAGGCCCGTATTTTCCCTTCTCTCTCTCTATATAGTCATGGAACTTCGACCCTGCATCTTTCTTCTACTTCTATTCTTGGTCATGGTTGTTAGGACAAAATCCATGGCTACTCCAGAAAGCCCTAATTCTTCTCCTATGAAAGTAATGGCGGTAAGTGAAATCTGATCTATTTCTTGTTTCTCTTCACTCATCTTTGAATTGAAAAATAAAAACCCTATTTTCTTTTTTTCTGTTTATCTGTTTTCTCATTGATTCATTTCTTTTATGTGCTAACGATTTTTTTGTTTCGCTTTTGTTTATGTGTTTTGTTCTTCAAATTGGAAAGTCCCTAATTTTCTTTCCTCATTGATGTATTTTCTGATTGAATTGCCTCTACGAACATCTGAGGACTATATTTTTGGGCTATGGCTTTTAAAACCCTAATTTTTTTTCAATAGAAAAACCATAATATCACTCTTCCAATTTGATTAATTCTTTTTCTGATTGATTTACCCTTATGAATTGCCGGAAGCTATGCTTCTGGGTTTGCCCAACTTATGAGTTGCAATCGTTGTTTGCAGGATCTGAAGGAAGCCATTGTTAGGGGATTAGGGTTTCAACCGGATGAATTCAAGGTATCAAGCATCGATTTCAAGGATGCCATGGTAGGACAAACGGTTGTCTATGAATTCATGGTGGAGATTGATAACAAGGTTATTCCTTTGAAGTTCTTAGAGGACACAAGGAACTGGGAATCAGTGGACCTGCCATTTTTGCGGTCTTATTCTCGTGAAGAAAGTGAGAACAGCTTGGCGACAAGCCGCAGTGGAGGATTGGGCCCTGCTAGTTTGGCTCCTTTTCAGCTCGCAGGACCCATGGAGCTTTGGATTCAAGACGGCAAGGACATGCGCCTTTCATTGCCCGTAAGACTTCCTTCTTCGTTTGCATTCTTTGGATTCTCAGATCCTGATGGTTGTTGGTTATGGCGTGTAAAACGCCTTTGGCTTCACCAGTTGCAATTCATTAATATTTTATCTGAATCTGGTGCTGATTTATTTATTTATTTATTTCCAATCACCAAATAAATCCGCTGTTCACCCTTTTTTTAACCCCTGTTTTCTCTTTAAAAAACAAATAAATCCTTTGTTTAAAAAACGAATAAATGAAAGGGATGTTTGGTGGGGAAGTCGAACCCCCTCCACGATGACCATTGGCGTGCTTACTGTTAAGAAAGAGATAGTGTCTTGTCTTCACCCATAGG